AGGGCTTATTATTGGGTTTTAAATTTTGGGATTATTCAGGCACCGGTTACAGAAAAAACATTCATTATCTCCTTCCCTTGTTATAGATGCAGGTCGCCGCTTCATTTTTGTCTCACACTCAACATGCCTTTGGCTACAAAAAATATCTGCATATCGCTCTTAATTTAATAGCAATTCGACACCACTTTGGGTTTAAAGCATTCTTAGCTACTGTGGTCGACAATCCGTCATTTCTGTTTTTAAGACTGACAAGAGACTACAACTCAGAGGGATTTTTTTTTTTTATCTTTAGGATACAGATGTAATTTTGCTTTGGGTTTGTTAGAAAGTGAAAAAAGTGTAACATCAACATTACTAAACTCATCATTCCACTTTAAATACACAAAAAATAGAGCAAGCATTTGGATTTTTTATCTGGCTACACAAAGGTATTCAACTGTGCATATTTCTGTGCTTTTCCATGTCTGGGAGTAGTTTGGAGATTATTGGAAACAACTAACAATCAGCTGACTGATAATAGTTGGCACCCTCGACCATTGAGGGTGTAGTAACGTGGATGTTGTTCGGAAAAGAAACTTTAATGTCCATCTGAAATTAGTCAAATATCTCCTAATATAGCACTGTGTCTCAAAGATATGAACCTTTTCAAATCTAATTTTGAACTTTTACTGCTAGAATACGGATTGTTAGCATTCCAATGGCTTTCCTGTCGGCCACAGGTAGAACAGCCATTTGTAATAATTTCACTCAACTGTGACTTTAAAAAATCCAAACCATTCATTTAAATATATATTTTTTCTAATTTTGTTGCATTTACCTTGATTGCTTTAGCTAAGTCTTGCTGGGGTGTGTGCTGCTGTCTTTCTTCATAAAGTTGATGGTGGTGCAGTTGGTGGGAAAAGGAAACTTTCTGCTGAATATGGTGGCGATGCTCCACATGTTTGTGTGGAGCTTGATGAAGATCAGCCTGTTGGCTGTAATATTGTTGTGGATGTTGGATGTGATGTCGTTGGCTGTACTGTTGTTGGTGGTGGTGTTGCTGCTGCTGATGATATGGAAGACTTTGTGCTTTGTTCATGTTTCTGTGAGTTTTCACCAGTCCTTCCTCTCGTCTACCACGTCCCCTACCTCGCCCACGTCCTCTCCTTGTTTCTCCAGTAGCTAAGCCCATCAAACCTCTGCAGTAAGGAGGTTCTGGAAGAGGGCGAATACGTGGTCTGCCTCGTGGCCGAGGAGGGCCTTCACGTTTTGGCTTGGTTGGTTTCCTGCCCCTTTTCTTAGGGCCATCATGAGATAGGATGTGTGAATTGTGCCCAATTAGAGTGTAGGTAGTAGGGTGGCAGAAGTCGACATCACTCGTCATTGGACTGAGTCCTGTAGCCCTCCTACAACTTGATACCAAATCTGGCAGCAGGTCTGGAAGTCGCCGGCTGTTGAGACGAATATCTGCTGGAGCATCGGCTTTATCTTCATCATCTTCAAATTCATACTCTTGAGGGTAGTTTTTCTTTGTTTTGGGTTGTGGATCACGTCGCTGTTTGAGCAAATGAAAAGATCTAGTCTTCAGTAGTTTTTTGGGTCTAGAAGAACAAAAGATAGGTGAAGTCAAGCCAGTAGTGCTGGCACTTCCAACCACAGCTCCCATTATTTTGTTAGCAGATACATCACCTTGGGCTGCTGAACTCAGTGCTATAGAGTGATTCTGAGACTGGATGAGGCCAAGCTGATCAGTATTCACAGTAGAAGGAAGCTCATGGGTCTTTACAAAGTCAAGGTCTAAATGGAGATTGCCATTACCTGTTCCTGGAAGGGTGTGACAGTACTGTCCATAAACTTGATCAGTGTGATGATTACCCAGATCGTATCTTTGATCTCCAACCTTTAGGTCTTCTACATCTTTCTGTGATTTCCCACAACCCTGATTAAGAGTTTCTTGAATAGCTTGTCCTGCCCCAGAATCCCCAGCACAATTTGACTTATATTCAGATGAACAAAACATGTTCTCCACCTCAGGAAAGAATGAGGAATCCTCATCTTGTAAGAGTGAGTCTGGAAAGCAGATGGATGATAGAGGTGGAAACCGTTGCTGTTGCTGAGTTTGATCCAGTCCAACTTTATTTGCTGGGGTAATTGTGTCAAACTGGTGCTGTTTGAGCTGGTCTAACAGGGAGTGTGTAAGTTGTGTTTCATGCTGTCTTTGTTGAGCTTGCTGTGGATGGTGAGGAGGAGCCATGTTTGCTGACATTCCATGAGGTTGCAGATGACCTAACTGTTCATGTGAAACCTGCTGGTGAATGTGTGCTTGTTGCCCTTGGAGAGCATGGGAGCGGGTGTGGGCAGGTGGCTGGTTGAGGTGATGAAGGGGTGAAGATGTGGATAAACCTAAATCTGGTTCAGCAAGAAGATTATGGAGATCTGGGTGCTTTTGTTGAGAATGATGCTGAGGTGTAAGTCCATGCTGGTGTGCATACCTTTCTCCACCACCTCCTTTGATTACTGGAACAGTCATACTAAGTTCAATTCTGTCGAGTGGTTCACTAGTGTCAATGTTATTGGCCCGTGAAAGAGACTGGTCTAGCATTTCCAGACAAGGCATTGAATTCTCACTTGTTTGAAGCTGATCTCTTGCTTGAGTAGTAAGTCTGTAGTGGGAATCTATGCCTTGGTTCTGCAGTGGAAGTGGCAACTGAGGAGAAAGGTTCTGTGAATTGGATTCCACCTCAGTAATCCTCGCTTCACCAACTGTACCAATCATACCTGGCTGACTCAAAGGGTTATGTGGTTGCTGTTGCTGTTGGGGCTGTGTGAGTACTTGCTGAAAGTCGATTTCAGTGCAGGGGGTATGAGAATGTGCAGACTGCATCACATGTGTTGACTGAGAAGGGTCTGGTGGATTTATCAAAGAAATGGGGGCCTGACTTTGGCGATCCTGAAGCAAGTCAGGTGTATTACACAGATAAGCATTGTCATTTGTACTTGAAGGCTTTCTTTGGTCAGTACGTGGATTGTTCCGGTTATAGGAATTGGCCTGACAATACTGAGAATGTTGAGAGTGCTGAGTAAGTTGACTGTGCCGGGATTGCTGGGTAATTTGATGGGAGTGTTGAGCGTGCTGCTGAGAATATGGGGATACATGTAAATGATAGGAATGTTGGTGGTGTGGGTGTTGGGTATAGGGATCCCCTCTTCCATATTGTACTAAAGACTCCAAAGACTCATGTTGCTGTTGATTGCTCTGGATAGTAAGGGAGCAAGACAGAGATTCAGAAAGTCCTCGTACTTCTCCAGCAGGGGACTTTGATACAGTCAACTCTGACCTGATCTGTTGTTTTTTCTGGGTTGATTCTAACTGTCTGTTTAGGTCATTTGCTGTTTCAGTAATCATTGACTCTGAACCAGAGTGATCCGTACTGTTATTGGTGCGAATGACACTCTGAGAATGGTGGCGCTCATTTGAGAGCTTGCTGATATCAAAGCTCATCCCCTTACTTTCACTATCCCTAGCCTGTGATATACATTGGGATAACTGTTGAGAATGTGATTGATGCTGGGAACGATGAGGTGTTGCTCTTTGTGTTTGTAGTAAATGTAGGATCAGGAAATCTTCAGTTTCTTCTGCTTCAACTTGAGATTGATCAGCTGCCAATAATTTTGAATCAGTTTTTGGTTTGGCTGGTGTTGAGTGATAGGTGTTGCTTTGAGTTTGTTGTGTATTGGGGAAACTTTCTGGTGAGGACATAAAAGCAGGAGACAAGATAGAAGACAAGTATTTAGTCCCTCCTGAGCTACCAGAGGACGGTGAGGGGCAAACAGCAGCAGGGGAATGTAAAGTAGAGTGACTGAGAGTAGAAATGATAACAGGTGATGTACTTGACTCAGGCAGATGATAGGAGCTGTTACTTTCATTACCAACAGCTAGAGTAGCACTCCCTGACCCTACAGATTCAATTCCACCCCTTTGTGTAGCTGCTCCTGATAAGGGTCCCATCCTTGATGATTCATTCCCATATTCCAAAGGACTGCTTGCACTCCTGAGAGAAGCAGACCCATAATTGGAGTCACCAAAGACTATTTCTGCAGAGAAAGCGTGTCCTCCTCCAGAACCTATATTAGTGAAAGCCTTTCCTCCAGTGACTACTTCCCCAGAACTTAAATCCTCGGGATGAGGTGAGCTAAATCCTAAAAAGCTCTGGGCCATGTGTGCAGATGGCACTTTGGTGGGGGAGTAAGACTGGACATGGGGAGATAGAGAGGTCTGGTTTGGCATGACAGTGCTAGATTTCACCAGAGATTGAGAGCCATAGGTGGTTAGGCATTGTTTAAGAGCAGGTTGTTGAACAAGGGAAGATGACACCACTGGTAGTAGAGGTGGTGCTGGGGCTAGCTGAGGACCGTGCTGCTGACGAGAGCATGTGGGCAAGGAAATGCTGTTTGCCTTGGAACTAGAGGAGGATGCTGATGGTGGAGTGTGTGCAGTACGGGTGGAAGACGATGAAGAACCTGAAGTGGAATATCCACTGTTGGAACTGGAACCAATGGGTCCCTTTGTGGCAGATGAAGAGGATACAGAGGAACTAGATGGTGAGGTTATGTAGGGAGTTTGGATAGTTGGTTGATATGACTGAGGTTCCATCTGAGGTGAGAGCTTAGGATCAGTAGACGGACTTTGTTCATCCAGGGGACTACAGGGCATTCCAGCATTCTGATGCAGACTGACTAACTGTTGGTATCTAGATGACCCACCACAACTGGTATATTGGTGTAGAGCTGGAGACTGAGCTTGGGATGAACGCTGGTAATGTTTGATCACACTGTCTTGCCGAGAAACTATCCTCTCTGGAGCAGACTGTGACTGGGGAACTGCTGCCCCCAGCAGGGCTGGAGAAGAAGAGAACATGGATGAAGTGCATAACTGAGAATGCCGACTGTGAAGTTGAGAGGACAACAGGTTGAACTGGGGAGGAGGTAAGTGGCAATTAGTGTCGTCGGATGAAATTTGGTTCTGAAGAGCCGGGGACTTCTGTGATCCCCTATATGTGGCACTTTGAGAAGAAAGCAAGCGATCAAAGCCCAAGCTGGACTGGGAGGGGGTCTTAATATGCAGGAGAGAATTATGGGGGGATAACAAGGCATTAGACGTTGGGCTATATGTACGGGCATCCTGCAAGGATAGAGAAGGAGTGAATGATCGTCCAGGGAAGGAGCCAGGACGTTGATAAGCGGAAAGGGATGAAGAAGAGGGAAAGGATCCAGAACCTGGAATGGCCCCAGAAATAAAGAGCTCCGCAGGGCCTGGTGTATGCATTGCTAGGGGGCACAATGATAAACAAAAAGTGTTATTTAACACACAAAGGTAATTTTTGATTTTCAAATCAACAAAATTTTCATTTTACATGTTTGCAAATTAGATTTGGGAAAATCTTTGTGGAATTGAATAATCATTCAAATTTGAGCAGATCACTGACACTCACTCGGCTGCCAAGAGGGTGTCCGAAACTGAGAGAGAAGAGAGGAAGAAGAGGGTGTAGCCTGTGGACCCCGGGACTCTAGTGCTGAGATCAGATTAATGACAGCAGGGTCAGGACCAGAGGTGCTGGCGTGGTGCAGGCTGGTGTCAAACAGCCCAGAAAGACCTGGCAACAAACAATAATTGAGTTCAGTTTAATTCCATTTTTTATATGGCGGTGGTAAACTACAAATATCACCTCAAGGCACTTTATAAGTGCCTTGATATGACAGTGCAGAAACACAATAGAGACAGAGCAAATAAAAACTCCTCTTTGACAGGAAGAGACTTGCAACAGATCTGAAACTTGACTTAGTGTTAGCTGGCATCTGCAACAATAGACAGTATTTGAGAAAACATTGCTTACAGACAAGAAAATAAACTAACACACTGAAAGAATACTTTCTTTAAAAAAAAGAGGTAATGGTAAGTTAGTGGCTTCATCTAGGACAGTGTTTCTCAACCCTGGTCCTCACCGCCACCTGTGCTGCATGTTTTAGGTATTTCCCTTCTGCCACACACCTGAATTCTATCTCTGGGTGATTAACTGGCTTCTGTAGTACTTGATGGTCATGCAATCTTTTGAATCAGCTGTTCTGGAATAGAGGCACATCTAAAACATGCAGAGCAGGGGGGCGGTGAGGACCAGGGTTGAGAAACACTGATCTAGGAGAAAACACAAAAACAAACTCTGACCTGGTTTTTAAGTGTTTAAAAAGAAAGAGAGCATAAAAAGATTCAACAAAGACTAGAATATTGTGAAGTTCATAATTTTTTGTCACTCATATCATAAAGTGAAACTTAAATATTTTAAAGATTCATTGCACATGTAGTGAATTATTTCAAACCTCTATTTCTTGTCATTTTGATTGTTATTCTTAGTGCATTAAAGTTTCAGGAGGTAACTTTCATAAAAAATACAGTAAATTTGCCCCCCAAATCCCAGAAATTTCCAGATCAATCCCAGACACCATATAAAAAAAACAAGGAAAGCTTGCAAACCCACCAGATAAAAATCTCAAACCTTGAGATCAATCTCAGAAATTTTGTGAGTGTATTATGTGCTAAAGTGGAACAGCTTTACACTTTAGGTATATAGCTTTTATATGTGCTATAACTATGCTTGATTAGTAAAACGTAAGTGTTCCACTGGTAAAATAATCACATTTAAAATATATTTAGAATATCTTCTAAATGTATAAGCATTATATATTTTATATATTAGTACTGTAATCACAGTATGTTCCAATTAAATTTTTAGTTTATTATAATGCTAATGAAGTACACTTTTTAGTTACTTATCAATGTCTTTTATTCGTCTTCTTTGCCACTTTGTACATTGCATGCGTCATACACACTACAGTACTGCAAACATATCAGGCTACAAGAACACAGAAGGATCAATTACAACACATTTCCGGAAGAAACAAATTACAATTTGTATTCAGTATATTCACATTTTTCAAGAGTAAATTAATATACCATCACAGACTGCAAATATATTATGCTTACAGATATTCTTATAAAAACTAGCACAGTACAAAAAATGTATGCACTTTATTTATTGCTTTTACCCATGAAGTCCAGCCGGGCTCAGCCCGAAGAGGAGACATGGGTCCCCCTTCCAATGGGCTCAGACACCTTTCGGAGGGGCCAAAGGGGTCGGGTGCAGTGTGTGATGGGTGGTGGCCGAGAGAGGGGCCCCTGGCGGTCTGATACTCGGTTGCAGAAGCTGGCTCTTGGGACGTGGAATGTCACCTCTATGGTGGGGAAGGAGCTGGCGCTGCTGTGTGAGGCTGAGAGGTTCCAGCTAGAAATAGTCGGTCTCGCCTCAACGCATGACTCTGGTTCTGGAACCAGTCTCTTTGAGAGGGTCTGGACATATGTAACGGGTACCAGGGTACCTGGTACCCGTTACATATGTCCGGACCCGTTAGCAGTAGATGATGAAGCTGAAAAACAGTATTTAAGTGAGCACACGGGAGACGCAGTCTGTGTGTTACTCCAATTTCTCAACTTATGAGAAACTGCAGAGCAACCGGCAGCTCAGAATCCCCATGCGCCACCTACCGGTGAAACACCATTACGGCATCCATCGTCATTAACCCCATAAACAGTTAAAGAAATGCATGTCCTTTTATTTCCACTTTTGTGGGCACACATCAGTGGGCATCACACATACTTCCACTCTGGAGTTGCCCAAGGTGAGAGGCGCAGGAGTGGGCATACTTGTTGCCCCCCAATCTCGGTGCCTGTACATTGGGATTCACACCGGTGAACAAGAGGGTAGCCTCCCTCCACCTACGGGTGGGGGGACGGGTTCTGACTGTTTGTGCTTACGGGCTGAACAACAGATCAGATTACCCACCCTTTCTGGAGTCCTTGGAGGGGATACTGGAGAGTGCCCCTCCTGGAGACTCCCTTGTTCTGCTGGGGGACTTCAACGCTCACGTGGGCCATGACAGTGAGACCTGGAGGGGAGTGGTTGGGAGGAACAGCCCCCCCGATCTGAACTCGAGCGGTGTTCTGTTGTTGGACTTCTGTGCTCGTCACAGAACATGGTGTTCATACTCAACACCATGTTCAGGGATAAAGGGTGTCCATATGTGCACTTGGCACCAGGACACCCTAGGCCGCAGTTTAATGATCGACTTTGTCATCGTTTCATTGGATCTGCGGCCGTATGTCTTGGACACTCGGGTGAAGAGAGGTGCAGAGCTGTCCACTGGCCACTACCTGGTGGTGAGTTGGCTCCGGTGGTGGGGGAGGAAGCCGGTCAGACCTGGCAGGCCCAAACGTGTAGTGAGGGTCTACTGGGAATGTCTGCCGGAGTCCCCTGTGAGACGGAGCTTTAACTCTCATCTCCGGCAGAACTTTGAACACGTTCCGTGGGAGGTGGAGGACATTGAGTCTGAATGGACCATGTTCCGTTCCTCCATTGCCGAGGCGGCTTATCAGAGCTGTGGCCGCTAGGTTGTTGGTGCCTGTCGTGGTGGCAACCCTCGAGCCCGTTGGTGGAGGCCTTCGGTGAGAGATACTGTCAAGCTGAAGAAGGAGTCCTATCGGGCTTTTTTGGCCTGTGGGACTCCAGAAACAGCTGATGGGTACCGGCGGGCGAAGCGACATGTGGCTCGGGTGGTCACTGAGGCAAAAACTCGGGCGTGGGAGGAGTTTGGAGAGGCCGTGGAGGAAGGCTTTCCGCACGCCTTTGAGGCGATTCTGGTCCACCATCCGACGTCT